ATTTGTCCGGTTTTTTTCCGGTTTTAAAAAATAATTTTCCGGTTTTTGGTAAATAGGGGTTGGCAGGCCTATATGGGAACCGGTGTTATCCAAACACCCTTAGTATTTGTACGAAATGTTTTACCCGATATCTCAAATATTTTAGCAATAGTTTTAGTATTTATTTCAATACTATTATTATTGTCACTATTTTGATAGATCGGGTCATTGTTTAGATACAATAGACTGGCAAACGTAGACTTTCCGATTCGCGGTGCACCGCATATGACCACCAATTTGAGCGGTTTGTTGGCCACTTGTGTATTATCGGCAAATATTTTGTCAATTTCATCCCAATTGGCCACTAGTTTCGGGTCATCTCTATTGCTTGTGTCGACTGTAAATATTTGTACACTTTTCAGACCCTCTGGACCGCCATATTTCCAATCAATTTCATCGCTTTCGACATCATTACTGGTCTCAACAGTATTGGTCTCAACATTATTGGTGTCAACATTACTGGCCTTAACTATACTGATTATAATAGCACCCATAGCTTTACAGTCGGCTATAATAATAGTCGTAACAAATCTTATTAAGATTATATAAAAACATTTTAAATAAAACATTTTTTTTCTAATACTATAATTATAATTTTATATTTGTTTTTGTTTGACATTAAAATACATTTTTAAAAAAATATTAAAATATAAATACATTACTTATGTAAAAATAAAATATAATAATAATAATTATTTTTATCTATTTATTTATTTCTAATCAATTTTCTTAACGGCTTTTTTAGTAAATTATCTAATTTATAGATAATAAAATTTTAAAAATTAAACTAAATATATATAACTTTAGATATTAATTTATAATTATTTTTCCCTATTATTACAATTTGTAGTTATAATCAATAATAATTAAAATTTAATAAATTAATTTTATTTATAATTTAAATTTTTAAAAAATCATAACTTAATATTATTAATTAAAACAATATAATTTATTATAATTAACTTTAACTGTACATTTAGTTGCAACATTATTTTTATTAAATAAACAATAAAATTGATAATTTTAACTTAGATATTTAATATTTAGATATAAATATATATATATATATATCGTATATATTTATATATATAATATATCTATCAATATATCGTAGATATTTAGTATTAATTTTTATGTCTATAAAGTCAAATTGAAACATATAATTAAACTAAATAAAAATTTATAAATAACATTATTTTTTAAACAATAAGTACTAAAAAAATAAAAAAATTCAAAATCACATATAAAATAATAATAATAATAAAACAAAAACAACTGTAATAAACATTTCATATTATAATTACAATTATTATATCATTTATGTAATAATAATAATTCAATATATGATAAGACTCTCTCTCTCTCTCTCTCTCTCTCTCTCTCTCTCTCTCTCTCTCTCTCTCTCTCTCTCTCTCTATCTATCTATCTATCTATCTATCTATCTCTTGCTGTTCATTATGTAACCTGTTTATTTACTAACCCTGCTCATTTTTCATCTCACTTTCTCATCCGCTAACTCATTAACCCACTCAATCTCTATAATTAATTTATAATTTATAATTTATAATTTATAATTTATAATTTATAATTTATAATTTATAATTTATAATTTATAATTTATAATTTATAATTTATAATTTATAATTTATAATTTATAATTTATAATTTATAATTTATAATTTATAATTTATAATTTATAATTTATAATTTATAATTTATAATTTATAATTTATAATTTATAATTTATAATTTATAATTTATAATTTATAATTTATAATTTATAATTTATAATTTATAATTTATAATTTATAATTTATAATTTATAATTTATAATTTATAATTTATAATTTATAATTTATGTTATAATATATGCTCAAACCTATAAGCTGTATATATATATATATATAGATGCATATATAATAGATATAAAACATTTAGGATTTAACATTTTCTATTTTTTTAGGCTCTTGCAACCACATAATACCAGCGAAAACCAATCCAGTTGTGCTAATGATTACACCGGCCAGGCCACTAGACAGGCCTACTGCCAAGCCAATAACAATGGGTCCCGGTAACATTAAGTGGACATATCTAATAGGCAAAGTGTTGACCGAATTGGCCACAAAACGTTTCGATACAATTTTTTCAAACTCTGCCAAATAGTCGACATTATCTATGTCTACCAATATCTCATCCGCATATCCATCAAAGTTTGCAGTTAATCGGTTGGCAAAATCGCTGCCAATAGGTCTAAACACCTCGTTGTGTGAGTGTATCCATTCGTTAGGCCCGTTAAGCATTCTTTTCAAAAATCCTTTCGATGATTTGACGGCTAACAACCCAGTCTCGTATCGATGGACGGCCGATACCATTGCCAATAGATTGGCCTCATTGACGCCGTAGTAGCTGTCTATATGTTTATCAAGCAATTGGCCAAAATAGTTGTCGCCGTGTTGTTGTCCATTGGCGGCTGCAATTAATGCTTGCGCCCTAAACAAAGTGTCCACCCTTATTCTGTTTTCAGAATTCAGATCCCGGAGCTCGTGATCCAAGCCTTCTAATCTCGGATTAACGGCTAACCGGCCGACCAATTGACGGATACCCATACAGACTGCCTCGCAATACGATTCCAAACAGTTTCGATAGAGTCGTGCATTTTTTGGCAAACCTATCGTATTGTCCATTAAGTTTGCCAATTAATTGCCGTCGGCTACTGTCAACTACTTGACCTACGACATTACTATCCGATTTAGACCAGTATCGATAGGGATTCTCGATAGATAGAAATTCGTCGACCAATTGGCCGACCAGTTCCCTGTGTCGTTGATCGAGTTGAGAAATAGTCAGACCGTTATACACATACAGTTGATAGCAATCGTCCATAAATTGTAAATATTTTTCCATTAGATTATCTATCAGATTGTTGGTAAAATTGTCGGCCAATAGGCTCAACTGGTTCGACAATTTTTTCAATTTATTATTAGTAATTGTGTCGAACAGTGGCCGCAATGCCCGATAAAAATCCGAACTATTCATTGGCTGTCCCGTTGTTGGCGATATTTTCAGATCATAATCACCGATAGTGGTAGACATTGTCAGCTGAGGAAACTCAAGTAAATATTTAAGATAATTGTCCCCAACATCATCACTGATATAGTGTGTATCCATATCGTCAAGCATACCGGTGCGCATACGATCAGCCGGTTCGGGCATCAGATAACAATCAATAGTTTTAAAGAATTTGCTAAACTTTCCTAGATTAATTTTTGCATCCCTGTTCAATGTATTCAAATATTTATCACTATCTAGACTTCCGTATTTAAAATCTCGTTGGTTAACGCAATTACAGGCTATTAGTATGAGCTTCTCATTTAACGACTGTACGGTTTGGGCTAATGTTGTGTACAATTGTAGTACTTGTTCGTGATATTCATTGAATGGATGTCTAGAAAAATAAAAGTTATTTAAAATATATTTATTTATAAATTTATTAGATTTAATACCTGAGATAATAGATAAAATGCGAGGACATCATCGATGATAATACATATAACTGTTGATAAATAAATTGATCGGAATTGGGACCCAATATACCCTCGACGTCAACAATAAACACATTGTATAGTATATCACTATCGGGTCGTTCCCTAACAGGTATGGGAACCGGTGTTATCCAAACACCCTTAGTATTTGTACGAAATGTTTTACCCGATGTCTCAAATATTTTAACAATATTTTTAGTATTTATTTCAATACTAATATTATTATTATTATTGTCACTATTTTGATAGATCGGGTCATTGTTTAGATACAATAGACTGGCAAACGTAGACTTTCCGATTCGCGGTGCACCACATATGACAACCAATTTAAGCGGTTTGTTGGCCACTTGAGTATTGTCGGCAAATATTTTTTCAATTTCATCCCAATTGGCCAACAGTTTCGGTTCATGTCTATTGTCGCCGCTGTCATCGACTGTAAATATCTGTACACTTTGTAGACCCACTGGACCGCCATATTTCCAATTATTTTCAACAACTGTCTCAACAGCTATAGGTTCGGTTGAGGCCATAGTCGTAACTTATAGTTGTATTAATTAGTATTTTTTATAATTAATAAAATACTTGTATTTAATACAAAAATTATATTTGTCTTAATTACAATACAATGAACAATAAAATATTATCTATTTATTATATAAAAAAAATAAAAATTACAGCTTATATTAAATTATGTATTATAAAGATAAAAATTATACAATTAATATCAAACAGTATTATAAACAGCAAAATAAACAACATTAAAAGTTACAAATAGTGAAATATAACCTTAATCTTTATAATATATAATTTAATAAAAAGTTTAGTAAATTGATGAAATTATATAATTTTTATTATATTTTTATTAATTCAATTATTACTAATTTTATGTTATTTTTCAATTGTATTCTAATGTTAAAACAAAACTAAATCTACTAAACGAAAGTTAAACTAAAAAAAATATAAACAGTTAAACAATAGATTTATATATAAATTATAAGAAATATTTTTAATAAAATAAATAAAAGATTTATTTTTGATTTTTTTTAAATACACGGCTTTTTAGCTTGCGAAAACTCGGGCCCTTTTTATGTATATTATACATATGTTTTTTGTGTAACTCTATCTCTATTATTAATAATTATATACTTACATAAATCATGTCGCATTTTTTTAAACAACACATAACAAAATGATATTTTTTATAATTACCAAATGTAGCACAAAAAAAACATAAGTAACACAAATAAAAAAGTATCGAGTTTATTTTGAAAATGTTTAGTGTATATTAAAATATATACTATATATATATATATATATAATTAGTATAACTTTTGATTAAAATTAATAATATTCATAAAAATTACAACTAATTATACTATTAACATAGAATATATATATATATCTAACATAGTTTAGCGCTGTTAGTTAATTAGTTCAAGGTTAATTGATTAATTAATTAATTTTGTTTAGTTGGTTTTCGAGCCCACTTAATACAAGCATATACCGAATAAGGTATGCCAATGACCAGCATTTCGGGAACAGCCAGTGCGCCCAAACCAATTATAACACTACTGGCCAACAAATCGGAACCGATTTCTAGTGCCCAATTCAGACCCGAATTTGAATCAAAACGTTTAGCTATAATAGTACTAAATTCGACCAAATAGTCGACATCACTGGCCAGAATGCCTACCGAAACCTTATCGGCATATCTGGCACTGTTGGCAGCTAATCGTTGGGCAAAATCGGGTCCAATACGCCGAATCACCTCATTGTGCGCGTGTATCCATTGATTAGAACCGTTAAGCATACCATTCAACCAGCCCTTTGACGCTTTCGTCGCCAATAACTCCGACTCGTATCGATAGACAGCCGATCCCATTGCCAATAGATTCGACTCATTGAGACCGTAGTAGCCGTCTATATGTTTGTCCAGCAATTGACCAAAATCGTAGTCACTGTCGTGTTGTTGTCGATTGGCTTTCAACGCTTGCTCCCTAAACCAACTGTCCACACGTTTACTGTGTACAGAATTCAGGTCCTGGAGCTCGCGATTCAAACCATCAAGTTTTGGATTAACGGCTAACCGGCCGATCATTTGACGGATACCAATACTGATGGCATCGGTATACGAGTTCAAACAGTTTCGATAGAGTCGTGCATTTCGGGCAAACCTATCGTATTGGTTGTCAAGTTTGCCAATTAATTCAAGTCTACTGCTGTCAACTGCTGCCGTATTGTCCAAACCGTCGGCCGATTTAGACCAATGACAATAGGGATTATCAGTATGGACTAAATCGTCCAGCAATTGGCCGACCAGTTCCGTGTGACGGCTATCGAGTAGATCAATGGCCAGACCGTTATACATATATTGTTCATAACAATCGCCAATCGATTGCTGATATTTTTCAATCAATCGTTGAATCAATTTGTCGGCAAAATCGGCCGCCAATAACGACATTTCGTTCGGTAACTTTTCCAATCGATTGGTAGTAGTAATTAAGTCGAACAGTGGTCGCAATGCCCGATGAAAGTCCCGACCATTTATCGGCTGTCCAGTTGTTGTCGATGTTTTCAGGCCATTGTCAGCTCCAGTATTGGCGGTGGTGGCCATTATTAGCTGACGAAACTCGTGTACATACTTAAGATAACTGTGCCCGACATCATCGCTGGTATAGTATGTATCGCTATCTTTAAGCATACCGGTGCGCATACGATCAGCCGGTTCGGGCATCAGATAGCAGTCTATGCATTTAAAATATTTGGTAAATTTTGTGAGATTAATGTTTGAATCGCTGTTCAAAATATCCACATATTTGTCGCTATCTACCCGTCCGTATCGAAACTCCTGTTGATTAATCAAATTACTGGCCATTAGTATGAGCTTATCGTTTAACGACTGTACGGTTTGGGCTAATGTTGTGTACAATTGTAGTACTTGTTCGTGATATTCATTGAATGGATGTCTAGAAAAATAAACAAAATAATAAAATAATAGTTATTTAATTAATTAATTAATTTGATTGAATACCTGAGATAATAGATAAAATGCGAGGACATCATCGATGATAATACATATAACTGTTGATAAATAAATTGATCGGAATTGGGACCCAATATACCCTCGACGTCAACAATAAACACATTGTATAGTATATCACTATCGGGTCGTTCCCTAACAGGTATGGGAACCGGTGTTATCCAAACACCTTTAGTATTGGCCCGAAATGTTTTACCCGATGTCTCAAATATTTTGGTAATAGTTTTTGTATTATTATTATTATTATCATTATTATCACTATTTTGATAGATAGGCTCATTGTTTAGATACAATAGACTGGCAAACGTAGATTTACCGATTCGCGGAGCGCCGCATATGACCACTAATTTTAGTGGTTTGTTGGCCACCGCGGGATTGTCGGAAAATATTTTGTCAATTTCATCCCAATTGGCCACCATTTTCTGATCGTCTCTATTGCTGTCATCGACTGTAAATATCTGTACACTTTTCAGACCCTCTGGACCGCCATATTTCCCGTACCGATCACCTGTCTCTACATGATTGGTTTCAACAGCTCCGGTAGCTTTAGGTTCGTCTATACCCATAATTATATTTTATATTAAATCTATTTAATATCCAGTTTTTATTATTGATATTAAATTTCATACATGTTTTCACACAATTTATAACGTCTTATAATTAATTGATTTATAAAATCTATTTTTGCATAATATATTTATAACCTATTAATAAATTAAAATGTTATTAATGTATTTTTTGTTGTTGTTGTTGTTGTATTTAAAAAAAAACTATTATAATTAACTTTAAGTGTAGTTTTTTTAGTTAGATAGTTATATAATTTTTGATATAATTGCTATTGCCTGGATACAAAAAGATTATGTATTGAAAAAAAATCAATACAAACAATTATGTTTTGATACATCCATTATATTTATTTAAAAAAAACAAAAATTTCTTAATAATAGTTATTTAATATTAAATTTTATTATTTTATTTTGTTTGTTGTTAATTATATATAATTTATTTAAAAATATAATTAGAATTGTATTACAATTTAAACATAACAACTTTAATTAACTAATTTATTTTTAATTTATTTTACTGTAAATTTATATAAAATTTATATATATATATATAAGAAGGCGGTCAATCGATCTTGAGCGGCGTATTTTTTGAATAACTTTTGAACGGTAAGACATAATTTAATTCTGTAAAATACATTTAAGAATATCATATCGACCACACTTAATATACACGAAATCACAAAACTAGGATGACCAGATATACAAAATATCGGGACCAACGCAAGACACTATGCTACAGGTCAAACTATAACAGACTAATTTTTTATGACAATGTAAATTTGTAGTCAAGAAATAATAGTTTAATATAAAAAAAGAATCATCAAAATCGGATTGATACTTTTGTTTTTATACCTTGTTAAATTTGTCATAAATCACATTGTATAAAATTGTCCAAAATAAAATTGACGTTATTTATGACTATTATATATTTAGAAGATTAAATTTTCAATTATATTATTATTTCTAAAAACAAAATTTTATTATGTAGACTAGTTTTCGAAATAATCGACTCAATATAAATTACACTATTGTAATTTGATATTATAATTTATATTGAAAGTCGATTATTTCGAAAACTAGTCGACATATTAAAATTTTGTTTTTAGATTTAGTGATAACATGAAAATCTTCATTTAATAAGTATATAATATTTACAAATAACGTCAATTTTATTTTAGACAATTTTAAACAATGTGATTTATGACAAATTTAACAAGGTATAAAAATAAAAGTACCAATCCGATTTTGATGATTCTTTTTTATATTAAACTATTATTTCTTGACTACAAATTTACATTGTCATAAAAAATTAGTCTGTTGTAGTTTGACCTGTAGCATAGTGTCTTTCATTGGTCCCGATATTTTGTATATCTGGTCATCCTAGTTTTGTGATTGTGTGTATATTAAGTGTGGTCGATATGATATTCTTAAATGTATTTTACAGAATTAAATTATCTCTAACCGTTTAAAAGTTATTCAAAAAATACGCCGCTCAAGATCGATTGACCGCCTTCTTATATAAATTTTATATAAATAATAAAATTGAAAGTAGTAGTTAATAGTATTTATATTAAATATTTTTATAATAATGAAATCAATTATTTTCTTTATATCAGTAAAAATAATTAATAATTATTATTAATTTTTTTTTATTAATTATTATTAAATTATAAATTGATTATTAATATATATTAATAGTATAATATTAAACTAACCAACTGAGAGAGCACAGTTAGCTAACTAGTAATTAATATAACTGGCTAAATAATATAATAGTATATTTTTTGTATATATATATATATATATATATATATGTGTGTGTGTGTGTGTGTTTGTGTGATAAAAATTAAATATTTTAAATAACTAAAAATATAATAACAATTTTATCTATTTATTTATTGAAATCATATATTTCGTCTAAACTTTTAAGAAATTTTAGATTTTTAAAATATCATGATAACAATTTATGGTATGATTCACAGGGAACAGTGACGTTAGCTACATGTGCTAAATTTTTGTAAATTTTTTTGTCAAATGCATATTATTTTCGCAAAAATTATCAAATTTTCAATTTTTAAATAATTTTAAATAAAAATTAAAATTTAATTATTTTTCTGCGAAAATAATATGCATTTAGAAAAAATTTACAAATATTTAGCACATGTAGCTAACCACCCGGTTCCCTGCTACTCATACCATAAATTGTTATCATGATACTGAATATATATATTAATATATATATATAAACATTTGTTGGCATTACTTACCTTAGAGGGCTTGGTTTTTTATATTGTTTTTAAAGTATAATAAAAAAAGCATTAAACTTATCTTTATATTTAGGTTAGTTTGGGGGGTGAGTGGGGTAGGGTGTGGGAGGTTAGGAAGTGGTGGTGGGGTGGTTGGGGTTAGATAGTAGTGTGTTTAATAGGGTTGGTGTGGAGTCATATTATGATTTATATTTTTTTTATTTCTAATGTGAATACAATCGTGTGATTTCACGTGCAAATAGTATTATTAATACATTTAATACAGTGTTGTAATGCACGCGCAAACAATATAAAAAAACGAAGCCCTCTAAGGTAAGCGTTGCCCATTTGTTTGTTTCTATTTTTTTTTAAGTATAACTTTAGTTTAAAGTTTAGTTTAACTTTTGTTTAACATTAGTTTGTTTAGTGGGCTTTCGACACCATCTAATACCAGCGTACAGTGAGTAGGGTATGCCAATCACAAGGGCCGGTGGACCAACCGTAGCGGCCAAACCATATGTACTAATAGTGGCCAACATATCGCAAAAGGTTTCTATATTTCTTTGGTGACCCGAATTGGCCAGAAAACGTTTCGATACAACTGTCTGAAAATTGGCCAAATAGTCTACGGTAGCGATGCTTACGCAAACAATATCCGAATATCTCGCCGAATTGGCAGCCAATTGGTCGACAAAATCGCCGCTTATACCACCGAATACATCGTTGTGAGCGTATATCCATTGGTTAGAGCCGTTGATAATCAATTTCCACCAGACCTTCAACTGGTTTGCGGCCAACAACTTGGTTTCGTATCGATAGACAGCCGACATCGTTGCCAATAGATTGGATTCATTGAGACCGTAGTAGTCGTCTAGACGTTTAGCAAGCAATTGGCCAAAATTGTAGTCACCGTCGAGGACATACTCTTTGAACCAATTGACCACTCTTTTTCTATGTATGTCATTCAAATCCCGGAGCTGACGATCCAACCCGTCTATTAGCGGTTTAGCTTCTAGATGGCCGATCAGTTGACAGATGCCTAACCTGAGGGCATCGGTATACGAGTCGAAACACTTTCGATATAGTCTGGCATTTCTAGCAAACCTATCGTATTGTTGGTTAAGTTTGTCTTTCAGTTCAACTGCCACTAAACAACTGTCCTTCATTTGGCCGCTGCTGCCGTCCATGGATTTAGACCAATGACGATAGGGATTATCTTTCAGTAATAACTTTTTGACCAATTGGACGACCAGTTCCGTGTGTTGGTCATCGATTTTATCGATATCCAGGCCATTGTACACATACTGTTGCTGCCAATCGTCCAGCGATTGTTGATATTTTTTTGCCAACTTATCGGTTAGTTTTTTGTTAGAATCGGCAATCATTAATGATATCTGATTCGGTATTTTGTGTAGTTTATTATTATTAGTAATTAAGTCGAACAGTGATCGCAGTGCCCGATAAAAGTCCCGACCATTCATCGGCTTTCCCGATATTTTCAGATCACTGTTGGTAGTGGTGGTGGTGGTGGTGGCCATTGTTAGCTGACGAAAATCGCTTATATACTTCATATAACTGTCCCCGACATCATCACTGTTATAGTATGTATCGCTATCTTTAAGCATACCGGTGCGCATTCGATCAGCCGGTTCGGGCATCAGATAACATTCAATACTTTTAAAGTATTTGGTAAACTTTCCTAGATTAATTTTTGCATCCTCGTTTAATTTATCCATATATTTATCGCTATCTACCCGTCCGTATCGAAACTCCAGATCGTTAACCAAATTACTGGACATTAGTATGAGCTTATCGTTCAACGACTGTACGGTTTGGGCTAATGTTGTGTACAGTTGTAGTACTTGTTCGTGATATTCATTGAATGGATGTCTAGAAAAATTTAAATGTTATTAAAAAAAATAAATTAATTAATTTCTAATTTAATACCTGAGATAATAGATAAAATGCGAGGACATCATCGATGATAATACATATAACTGTTGATAAATAAATTGATCGGAATTGGGACCCAATATACCCTCGACGTCAACAATAAACACATTGTATAGTATATCACTATCGGGTCGTTCCCTAACAGGTATGGGAACCGGTGTTATCCAAACACCCTTAGTATTTGTACGAAATGTTTTACCCGATGTCTCAAATATTTTAACAATATTTTTAGTATTTATTTCAATACTAATATTATTATTATTTTGATAGATAGGCTCATTGTTTAGATACAATATACTGGCAAAAGTAGATTTACCGATTCGTGGTGCGCCGCATATCACCACCAATTTGAGCGGTTTGTTGGCCACCGATGGATTGCTTGAAAATATTTTGTCAATTTCATCCCAATTGGCCACTAGTTTCGGGTTATTTCTCTCGCTGTCATCCACTTTGAATATCTGTACACTTTTCAAACCTTCTGGACCGCCATATTTCCAGTCAATTTCATTGGTGTCGACATTATTGGTCTCAACATTACTGGTCTCAACATTACTGGTCTCAACATTACTGGTCTCGACATCATTACTGGTCTCAACATTACTGGTCTCAACATTACTGGTCTCAACATTACTGATCTCAACATTACTGGTCTCGACATCATTACTGGTCTCAACATTACTGGTCTCAACATTACTGATCTCAACATTACTGGTCTCAACATTACTGGTCTCAACATTACTGATCTCAACATTACTGATCTCAACATTACTGGTCTCAACATTACTGGTCTCAACATTACTGGTCTCAACATTACTGGTCTCAACATTACTGGTCTCGACATCATTACTGGTCTCAACATTACTGGTCTCAACATTACTGGTCTC